GTGGGAGCCTGGGCCCCGCTGGAGCTGGGGGCTGTCCAAGGGAAGGAGTTGTTCACGTACAGGAAACCCAGTAGCAGGATCTCCTGGCTGGGACGAGTCTGGCTCAGTCCCAGCATTGCAATGGCTCAAGGCCTTTTGGTTTAGCTTCACCAGGGACCATCGAGCAGCCTGTTTCTCTTGTGGTGTAAGTGCAGTTGAAGTCTCTGGGGAGGAGCTGTGTGTGGAAAGCAGATTGACCCTGGCTGTTTGTCTGTCCTGCTGCTGTAGAGAATCCCTGAGCCCAGCTAAGCAACTGCCTGGTACCAGCGTAAAGCTGACAGCCTTCCCTGGGCAGGGATCAGCCTGTGTAACCTTCGGCAGAGATGAGAAACCAGGCCTCGGGTTTGAGCTGACAAAAACGCCCCTGTGTTCGGAGCCCACCCGTCTTGGGGAAAAAGCATCCACCCGTGAGGCAGCAGGACTGGGCCTGGCACCCTCTGCCAAAGGGAGAGGCCGAACCGCTGCCTCTGAGCTCTTCTCTCTGTCCCAGGTGCAACGAAATGAAATCTGGAAAGACACCTTCTCCTCTCTTCCCAGCCAGGGGAGGTTATAACTCTGCTAACAGCACAAGGCAGCTCCTTCGTCTTGCAGAGCTTGGGGCGAGCAGCTCTTGCTCGGAGCTGTTAAGCTGTTTGCAGCCCTGTCCCCTCTTGTTGGGAGGGGTCTTTTCTCCGCAGCAGCAAGGAGGCATTGGGGGTCAGGCCGCATGCCTGCAGGCTCCTGCAGTTGTCCGCGTACACCCTCTGGGGAAAGGTACTGATGATCTCATATGAGTCGGAGTCTCCACCCCTAGGAAAGAACAGCACGAATTTTCCTATGCACAGGATCCCCCAAGGTTTTGCCGAGATGCTGCGGCTCATCCAGCTGCCCTTACGTAAGAGCAGAGGGAGAGACTGTTCCACAAGCACAGGCTGAGCAGAAAAAAAAGGGCTTCCCGCCCAAACTGCAAACAGCCAGGCACACAGCGGCCATTCCAGGCTGTGCAGCTGTGTCGGGGAAGAAGGCTCTGGCATCCCAAGAGCAGCGAGCTCGTCGTGGGCTCAGACCAAGGGCAGGGCTATGGCCCGCAACAGGAGTGGGAAGAGGGGAGAGCAAAGGGGTCCCCTTAGCCATCTGGAACTGTCCTCAAAGGGATGTGTGAGCCCTTGGGCAGCATTAAATGCGTTGGGATACAGAGCTGGCTGAGCAAAAGGTGGTGGCTATCCCACAGCGGATCCATCAGCCAAGCTGAAGACTGCAGCTCAGCTTCCAGGCTGTACCAACACCTTGGGAGCGGTGGCTGAGCAGCTGGAAGGAGGCAAAGGCAACGATGGACCTGGGTCAGTTGGCAATTTTGAGAGGACAAAAGAAGTTTATCTCTGCTGCTGTGTCAGCTTTTTGGCAAAGGTGGGTTCTAAATGCTGCGAGTTAGGCGTGAGCCTGGCAGCGCTGCCTAGAGAGCATCTCTGGAGGTGGAGCTCAAGCAGCAGAGGGTACCCGGCAGCTCCTGGGGCTGTAACCCTCAGCCCTGCTCCGCTCAGGCTGATCTGTTTGAAGCGCAACTCCAAGGCCTTCAGCAGCAGCCGAGAAACCTTCCCTGGGGCTCTACGGAGCCAGGTGGGGAGCGAGGAGGGGAGGAAGTCCTAGACCTACCTGGCATGGGCGAGATGTTGGCGCAGGTCCCCTATGGTCTCCACGAACAGCATCTTTACAAGGTACGTCTGCTCCCCGCTCTCAGATTTGATGCGGAGAGTGCAGACATCAGGGGCAGAAGTTTGAGCCTCTTCAGCCGTCTTCACCCTGGAGGTTAGAAAACCTCGTCAGCTGAGGAGTGAGTGCTCTGCCGGCGGCAGAGCCTGTGAGCTCTACTCAACGGGCAGAGCCTCTGGGCTGCCAGGGTGATCCGAACGGGGGAGAGGTGTTACACGTTTGGGAACGTCCTTGAGATGAACGAGGCCCCATCTGACTGCGGGTGAGCGGACCAACCCACGGACCAAACTGCTGCCTTGCTTTCCCTGCTTAAAGGTGCCTTGAAAAGAGGGTTGCTGACCTTTTTTAGCTTTTTCATTTTAGATCAGGGCTGTTTGGTAAGTACTTTGCCCTACTTCTTTGATTAAAAATAATTTGCTTGGGGCTTTTTTCATTAGCTATTTCGGTCTTGTCTTGCCAGAAGACTACGAGTGGGAAAGTGCTGTTAGTGTGACCTCCCACTTGGGCATCAGTTTCCTGGAGGGATTCTCCCATTTAACATGACCGCAAACAGCTTCTTAGATGGTTTCAAACTCTTAGGCCTTGGCTTGCTGTCAGGAAAAGTATTTCACAGCAATAAGTAACATTTTGAACAACAGAAGCTTTTGTTAGAGGTGTACAAGATAGCAGGTTTACCACAAACAATTCAGTAGTCTTCTCAAAAGACCAAACTTGGCCTTTTTTTCTAATTATTTCTAAGGTATAAAAAGGGCAAGTCTATTTACTTCCCCAACTGAAACCCCTGAAATAAACCCGCAGTGAGGAAATAGGAGGAAGATGAGAGCCGGGCAGGGGTCGGGGGGCTGTGCCGGTACCTCTGCAGGGCAGACAGCCTGGGTGTCTCCACCAGGACCTCTTTGCTGCTCCGCACCCCTTCAGAGCCCTGAAACCAAACCAGGTGAGCGTCACCCCTCCCTGCTCCGCACGGAGAGCAACCAGTGCCAGGAAAAGCCCAGGAGCAGGTGCCAAAGTGCCACGTGTGCTCTGGTGGAGCCTCTCCGGGAGGAGGAGGAGGAGATTATGCAGTGGAGGAGGCCCAAGGAGCGATGTTGGTGCTGTGCAGGGCGCTGAGCCCAGGGAATCGCTGCTGGACGACTCCTGTGGGTGTTTGGGGGGTCCGCTCATACCTGCTGCGCTGCTCTGGCTGAACCTCGGACACCCATCGCTTCTCCGTGATTCAAGGGCTTGGAAAGCTTGTTGAGAAACTGCTCCAAGGAGACTTCAGGATCTGCAGGAGCAGAGGGGAGATGGGTCCACACGTGACCTTTCTGAGAAATAATTTGCCTCCAGAATAGGCTGACTTAGTGAAATGAGGGTGCGCAACAGCTGAGAGGAGAGCTCTAACCTCCCCTAGCTAGGCTGAGACTAGGTCTTGGTCTCCCCCGTTGAAGCTTGCCCTACTTTCTAGCCCACTAAATCTTTGATTGTCAACATCAACAGTGAGCAACCGCGCAGCCTGTTCAGCCCGCAGCTGGGATGCACAACCGGTAGAAACCTGGTTAGCCCTGCTGTGAACAGGAAAAACTGAAACTATGACAATTTCACAGACTTAGAAAATTTTTCATCTTGTGAGCGTGTATTTGTAGGTGTTCATTCCTTTTTCTGTGGTGGCACTGGGCAAATATTTTTTTTTTTACTGTTTGGATAAAGGAAACGTTTAGCACAGCTTCTGTTTGTGAATGGCCTTGAGATGAATGAGCCAGTAGTACAGCTTTATATAGATAGGAAGATGTTGCTGATGGGCAATGCACGTGTTGAGGTTTAGCTATGCATGCACAAACCCACTATTTTCTGTCTACATGACTGACTGCATTTGACTTTCCAACCCTGACAGGTATTGCTTATGCAGAC